CGCTGGCCGTTAACGGCCGTTGGGGGAAAGGGGTTGGTAGGGGGAGGTGGCGGATAAATAAATCTATCTATCTACCCCCGGGTGGTACTTGAGCGTTGTTGCAGCTGTGTGTTGTAACCTTACTCTCCGCTCCTGTCGCGGCATTTAATTGAGGTGGGAGGCACACGTTATCGCCCTCCGTACAGGATTCCCAAGCAGTAACTTTAATAAATCGTGGCATTTGAAGATGTTTTCCAGTAATTTTGTCGTTCCTCCCTTTTCTGTAGTCAATTCTTTTTTATGGGATCTGTCTGTGGTGCTTGTGAAATCTGCACTGGCTTTGATTGCCCTGTTATAAGAAACTCTGGTTTATCCAATATTTTCTCTGTTTTCTTTAACAAGCATGAAGGTCATTACATGTGAAATAGCGTGGCATAACAAGGAGCCCGTTTATAGCTTAGACTTTCAGCATGGGACGGATGAGAAGATCAATCGACTCGCCTCAGCTGGCGTGGACACCGCTGTTCGCGTGAGTTCCTGCCTCTCAGGCTTCTCTTTCAGCATGCACAACACTGAGCAGCTTACTATGTGAGGTGATATGATGATGTGTTCTTAACTGGTAACATGATTATTATTGAGAAACAGCTCTTTTTTTTTTTTCCCCCTCTCTCTGGAAAGCTTGATAAGTAGTAAATCAATTGAGCAAGAGTAAGAACTTGCTGATTTTTAAAATCGGTCTTCTGGCTGGCCTGTTGTAACTTAATTTCAGTTGGTCTGTGATTAGTGGGGTTTTTTTTGTTTGTTTGTTTTTGGTTTTGTTTTTTTACATTTTGTGCTTTAGGAGTTAGTAATAAAAAGTGTCACTCTGGTCATGTTTAGGGAAAGGGTATGAGGAATTGCACTAGTAGGTACAGAATGACCTGGTTTACTGTCTTTGCTGCTGAGTGTTGAGATGACATTTTTCAGGAAATTACCTGCACTGCTTACTGGCAGTCGTGAATCATAACTGCTAATTTACGGTACCGTCTGATGGATTAGTAAGAAGCAACCAGTTTTAATTCCTCTGTGTTCATCACTCTTGAATTTCATCAGGTCTGTTATCAGTGGCCACTCAGCCGTACAAAGTCTTGTGATCTTTTCATTTGGCTTCAGATGCAATGTAATGTAATGTTGGATTGGTGTTAGCAAACTTCGTTAATCTGCTGTTTGTTCCTTCTGAAAATTGCCTGTGAAGGTATTGAATAGCACAGGCCCAAAAGGAAGTTACTGCAAGGTTCACCTTTGCAAAATCAAGTCTTTGTTTATTATTTTTCTAAATTCTTTTTAATGCAAAGTCTGTCCCTCTCATTCAGTGGTCAGTCAGTTTCTCTAAAAGCCTTTTAATAGCCTTAGTTGGAAAGCTTCGGAAGACATTGAGTATGCTGAGTAAACTGCATTCTTTTTATCTGCATGTTCATTGCCTCTTTAAATAAGATCAGTGGACTGGTGAGGTAGAATTTTGTTTTCAGAGAAATACATTAAGTTATATTCCAACACAGGAACCTCCCTGTACTCCTCTGTAGTGAGCTACAGTACAAAGAATTCATGCAGGTTTTCTGCTGTGTCTGTGTAAATATATGTGTGTGTGCAAATGTATCTGTCTGCTGTGTATGCAAGTATGTGTCTGTGTGTCTTCTCATGACAGTTTTACACTTCAATTATCACTCAGCATTGCTTACATTCTGTCAGGCTTCTATCATCTGATGTTTAAAGAAAAAAGTGAAAAATACATTATTGGGGTTTTAGTGCATGTGCAGTGCTCTGGGATAAGCTTCTGCCTGACTTATTCACGTGGCTAATCTAAAGGCCTCTCTGTTCTGCAAATGATAAGTGGGACAAAGGTGTCATTAAAAATCAGGTTTTTATTCCAGTGGCTTCAGCCAAAACATTTTCCATCCTTATTGGCAAATTGCCTACTTACCTGACAGTTTGTGCTTTTCATAGACGACTATGTATAAGCTTCTGAATATATACTTAAGTCATGTTTATCTATGTTCTATGACGAGAAAATATTCAGTGTTCTTTGACATAAAAAGCAGCTGCTGCTTCTGCTTTATTTTTCTAGAGGACTATTGCATAAGGAAGAAAAGCTGGAAAAAAATACAGAGGTCTTTATTTAAGCTGCTCCATTGCTTGGTAGTTCCCTTTGTTATTTTCTGAACTCAGGTACATGCAAGAGCAACTCTGACCTGTCATAATGTTGTGGTTGTGATCAATGGAAAACTGGAATTGTTCTTAATATCTGATAAAAAATATTTCTTGCTAAAACCTTCTCAAAATCCTTTCACCTTCAAAATGTGCTGCAAAACTCTTCTGCTTGATCAGATTTCTAAAGAGAACTATTTTTTTCTGGTGTAGAGAGTACTATTTCAGATTGTTTCTACCTGTGCTTAGCCGATTTGTTGACAACATATTGTTATGTCTATAATTCTGAATTGCTATGTATGTATGTGTTTGTCAAATGAAATGAAAGCACTGAAAGCAGACAGAGCCATGTTATGTGTGTGTCTATTTATTGGAAATATTCAGTAATATATTCCAGCAGAACCAAAGAAACATTGTGATGTAGTTACAGTTACAGCTTGTAGAGAAGAAACTTGTGGTGCCACTGCAACTTTATCTTGGGTGGTTTTGGATGAGTTCAAAATAACTGCTGCAAGAATATATTTGTGAATAACTGAAGCAGGGCATATATAGCATATCACCTTATCTTCCATATTGTTTCTGGAAACTATCTGTAACTAGATATGGAAAGTGGAGAAAGGACCAGATGGAAAAGCAATTGTGGAATTCCTGTCCAATCTGGCCCGCCATACGAAGGCAGTAAACGTTGTGCGCTTCTCTCCCAGTGGTGAGATCCTGGCCTCCGGGGGAGATGGTGAGTGAATAACACGTAAGGAAACTAATATGGAGAAGCTGCTACAGCCGTGCATCTAGTGGGGAAGAATGAGCGTGGACACTCGTTCATACCTCTCTCCCACATACCCTCTTCCCCACTTCTGCACTTGCGCATGTGCTCCACGCATGTGCTCCAGTTGTCATTAGTAAATGCATGCCATGCAATTGCTAAGTAACTTACTGTCACTGTCTGTCTGAAAGGCTCTGTTTTCCTTGAAATGAAAGAACTACTATCCAAATTTCCCAGATGGGAGGATTGAATGGATTATCTAGTGTCATACTGGAAGGCTGTCTAACAGCTTGTAAATTTAGGCCTATTTCTTGAGCACTTCAGAGGGTTCTTCAGTCCCAGTAAGGGCAGCTTTAGGTAGGGGTGTGCTTCATGAGGTGGAGTTGGGTGTTACCTGTCTCAGTGGAAATTTTTCAAAAGTCGAAAGAGAAATATGTCCAGCTCAAAACAAAAAGCAGATTGAAAGCTAAGTGACTCTCGTGCTAGAGATACCGCTCTTTATTAGATCACTTTAATATAAAAAATAAGTCTCAGACTCATAGAATCGTTAAGGTTGGAAGGGACCTCTAGAGGTCATCTAGTCCAAACCCCCTGCACACGCAGGGTCACCTAGAGCACGTGGCACAGGGTGGCATCCAGGCAGTTTTGGAAGATCTCCAGAGAAGGAGATTCCACAACCTCTCTTGGCAACCTGTTCCAGTGCTCCATCACCCTCACTGTTAAGAAATTTTTCCTTAAGTTCCTGTGGAACTTTTGGTGTTTCAGTTTATGGCCATTACCTCTAGTTCTGTCAGTGGCCACCACTGAAAAGAGGCCGGCACCATCCTCCTCACTCCCTCCCTTGGGGTATTTGCATACACTGATTAGCCTTTTCTTCTTCAGGCTGAACAGGCCCAGCTCCCTCAGCCTTTCCTCACAGGACAGATGAACCACCCAACGTGTTGGCCAGGACATCAACCTAAAATCAATAGCTCACACTGGAGGAGAAAAGTGGTCCAGGGTCTATTCCTCACTGTTTAAAAAAACTATCTGCTTTTCATGTGTTTTTTTGCGAGGTAATATTAAACCAAATGTAATACATTAACAAAGCATTCGTGTAATTTCTTCTATAGATGCTGTGATTTTATTGTGGAAGCTGAATGACAGCAAAGAATTGGAACCATTAGTTTTTCAGGATGAAGATGAAGCTCAACTCAACAAGGAGAACTGGACAGTTGTTAAAACGTTAAGGTAGCTTCAACTTTTATGAGTCTGGTTATTTTTTGCTTGTTTGTTTGTTTTGATTACACAGTACCTTTTATTACCTTGTATGGGCTTCTGTTCAGTATATGAAGAAATTCACTGCTCTTAAAAGTTTTACTTTTTCCAGTGTTCATCCTTCTGTGGTCTTTAACTTTTGATACAGTACCAACCTCAAACTTCTGGGTTAAGGCAGAAGACTTGGCATTTGTGCTCTGAAATAGTTTCCTGAGTTTAGGAAACTTAAATTTAGAGCTTTGCACAGAGATATATAAAATAAATATGAAGTTTTATGTACTGATTTTATCGTACAGAACAGCATAGAATAATATGTAATATAATAGTGTAGAAATTGTGATTAGTATTAAAGCAAAAAGTTCTGGTAGATGAAATGATTTATGTGGCTTTTCCAGACAGTAGTTGTGAAGCTAAGCCCTCCACTTTTGCCCTAGCTATTCTTGTTACAGTTGAAAATACAGTATATTATACAGCTTTTGTTTCAAGCTGTACAAGGATAAAATGCACACACCGTGCCTGATAAAACTAAGTAAGTGTCAGTGGGAGTTCATAGTGACTAAGGCATCCAACTGCTGCTGACAGTTGGAATTCAGCTGTCTGCGGGTCTTGCTCTCAGCAGAAGGTTGCAAGAGGTGAGTTTGGAAGCTGAAGGGCATTTTTTTTTGGTGGACACTCCGTGTATACATATTTCTGTTTATTATTTTTTATGAAGCTTATAAATAAGAAAGTTTTCTTGAATAGCTTTTTAATTACTTTGGTGGTGCAGTCTTCTATGTCCTGTCTTGTATGAAGCATGAAAATGTTCACCTGCGTATCTTTAGAAGTAAATTTGTAAGCTACTTTAAATGCATGGCTTTCATTGTGAAAAATGAAGTGTTTAAAAGGTAGTGATATTTTGGGTAGAAGCAGAATGTACTTTTTTGTTCCAGCCCCTCCTGAATACAGAAGTGTTTTTTGTTGGTGTTTGTTTTTGAAAGAAAAAAAGAAACTGAGTAATGCCTTTTTGTTTTACTTTTATAATACCTGATCTTTCTCTCTGTTTTTTTGACCTAAAAGTATACAGAATTCTTATTTACACATGTAGCTGTTCATTTTATAATTAATAATTGCTTTCTTTTGTGCTGGCTCCTAGAGGTCACTTAGAAGATGTATACGATATTTGTTGGACCTCAGATGGAAATTACATGGCATCGGCCTCTGTAGATAACACAGCTATAATGTGGGATGTCAATAAAGGTAAATGCTAAGTGTAAGTTTATTGTCTATGACTTCAATCTTGCTGCAAGTGTCGCTTTTAACTATTTTGATAAGTGCCATCTTTGACTTTTGAACAATCCATTTAATTGCCAGACTTCTGGGATTGTGATGCAGATACCCAGGCATACAAAGATAACCCCAAGTTGGCAAAATTTGCATATAAGTATTCTCTTCAACTCAGACTACTCAAAAACTAATATTTGGAATATTTGGACTTTTTTTTTTCTCCTCAAGCTGCCACACAAGCAGGTTGTATGGTACTCCTGCGTGTCCCTTTTCACTCCTAAACAAATAAAACTTGACTGATGTCAGATAACTACCTGTGTCTAAAGCAGAAAGCTAGTATAGGATGCTGGCCCCATTTTGCAAGGTGAGACAGTTTGGGGACTGCATACAGCAAGGCACTTGTGTTCATGCTAATCTGTGGATCAGTGGGATTGCCCATGTCCTCCAGGGAAAGCCCAGCTAGAAAAGCTTTGTTGGACCAGTTCAGGGCAGTCAGTACTCTGCAGTAAGTGGGAGATCATGAGGTGATTCTGCCTCAGAATTATTTCTGAAAACTGTCCTTATGTAAGTCATCAGACAGTATGTGTGGAGTGTGTTCTCCTCAACAGAGTTAGTGAGTTTCTACAAGCATAGACAGAGAGCCTGGCTATCCAGCCCAAGCTGAAGGTTATGCTTTAATGCTGGAATTTCTGGCTTTGTATCTAGCCAAATCGAGTTAGTTTTTGAGCAGTAATCTAGACCGGTAGACCTTGGTTTTGAAATATACTCTTTTTTTTTTTTTTAAACACTTATAATCATCATTTTAACACCTCAACTTGTTTATCTAAGTTACTTTGTAGGGAACAAGCTGTGTTCAAATTTACAGTGATTCTAGAAATAAAGCAACTATTTCAATCATTGATGTCAGGTACTACCAGTGGTAGTCTGATATTACCAGTTTGTATGTTTCAAACAGTGTTTTATGTGCATTCTGAAGTGCTTTGCGGGTTTGTTTTTTTGTATTTCTGAAAAAAAAAAGCATTGAATTTAATATCTAAAAACTGTTTGTAATTTCAGGACAAAAGGTTTCAATATTAAATGAACACAAGAGTTATGTTCAAGGAATCACCTGGGATCCTCTAGGCCAGTACATTGCAACCCTGAGTTGTGATAGGTGAGTTACTGGTCTGTGTTTTGTCTTACTGCTTCTTCTTGAGGTTTAATTAAGGAAAAGTGCATGGAGTGAATGTGATTTTTCTTTTGATGGTATTCAAATTGTTCTGTGAAATGGCTGGTGTAAAAAGTAAAATGATAATTTAGTTAATCTCATGGTAAATGATTGAATGTCTCTCTAAGCAAGAAACTAGTTTATGCAACTTTTTGCATAAAGTTTTCTTCAGGAAATGAAGTTTCATGGTATTGGCCATTAGAGATGTCAAACATATCTTAACAGAATGCTGTGTTAGCTGATTGCTAGGGACCTGATAAGTTCATCCTTTTCAGTATGCTTTTACAGAGAAAGAAAAGAGGTTAAGAAAATAGTGAAAATGTTTTTATTTTTTCTCTGTTGATATCTTCCTTCTGCCCTCTTGTTCCTTCCATCCCCAACAGCTTTATAAGTGAAGTCATTGGGAAAGCAAACACACACACTTCATAAACTTGGCCCTTGTCAGAACTTTGCAGTTCAGCTTAAACTGTTTAGGGCATGTGTGCTGCTCTGAAGTGGTTCGCAGCTGGCTAAGAAATGTCATCTGGCACCCTTTGCAGAGAAAATTGCTGCAATAGTGGAAAAATAATTTTGATTTAAGATTTGCAATAGGCTCAGAAAAAGGTAAATAAATGGTGGCTAGGTCATTATGAGCCTCTGTTTTCAGGTAATTGGTTGTGTGAAATTTGTGTGCTTTTATTAAAATAAGCAGTAGTGAAACGCAAGTGATGGAAAGATGCACAAGTTTTGCTTGGAGTGAAGTTACAAGCTGGAGTACAGTCTAATCTGAAGAGGGGAAGTTTCCTACCCGCACATCTTGCAGGCTCTTTTCTGCAAGATTAGCAGGTAGCAGAGGCTCAACAGGAGTCCAGTAAGAGTCAGGGTCAGTGCCAGGAGTGGGCACTAAACAGCCCGGGGGCACGGAGACCCCTTCACCCATTTGGCAGGTCAGCTTGTGGTGTGATGCATGGCTTCACTTAAAGTACCTGTACTGCCGTGAAAGCCTCAAATTACCTGCAGTTTGCTACAGCTTCAGTTTCTACTTTCGCCTCCTAGCTCTGTCCAAGACTCTGTGTGGAGTTGTTTCAGCACATTACATCAGCAGAAAGCTCTGGTTTTTGTGTTAGGTTAGTTCTCTGCCATCCTAGTGAACCAGCATATTTGATAAAGGATTTGATGAGTTTAAGAGCTGGTAAAATGGAGGGGATAGTGGTACCAGTGGCTGGATTGGCCTAGGCTACTTTCTGGTGAAGTCAGGAGAGTTCAAGCCTTCTCAGTATTGAGTTATACTCCAGCTTTAATTTATTACAGCCTCCATGAAGGCTAGAAGTGCAGTTGATTGTCTCTGGGGTGAGTACTCAGGAACAGATCCAGCCACTATTCTATAATTGGGAATGCCCAGGCCGTTCACTGCCCTTTAATTCCTTCATTCCTCCATGAATGTGTACACTGGTACTTCACAAACTTTTCTGAGTCAAATCATTACCTGTAATCTGCAGATTATTAGGCATAAGGGCATGTCTTCTCTGGTGGTCTTGGATGAACGGAGTTAAAATAAACATGTGATCATCATTTATATGTGGCAGTCACAACTGCAAAGAGAGGTGTTGCAGCTCTGTGCAAATCTTGGGGTGAAAGCAAGTTGACTATGTTGACCAAATTGACAAGTTGACCATGAGGCAGCAGTGTGCCCTCGTGGCCAAGAAGGCCAATGGGGTCCTGGGCTGCATTAAGAAGAGCATCTCCAGCAGGTCGAGGGAGGTGATCCTGCCCCTCTACTCAGCCCTGGTGAGGCCACATCTGGAGCACTGTGTCCAGTTCTGGGCTCCCCAGTACAAGAGGGATGTGGAGCTGCTGGAGAGAGTCCAGCGCAGGGCCACAAGGATGATCAGGGGCCTGGAACATCTGCCCTATGAGGAGAGGCTGAGGGAGCTGGGCCTGTTCAGCCTGGAGAAGAGAAGGCTGAGAGGGGACCTGATCAGTGTCTATAAGTACCTCAAGGGAGGGAGTGAGGAGAATGGGGCCAGCCTCTTTTCAGTGGTGGCCACTGACAGAACTAGGGGTAACGGCCACAAACTGAAGCACCAAAAGTTCCGCATGAAGGAAATTAAGGAAAAATTTCTTAACAGTGAGGGTGACAGAGCACTGGAACAGGCTGCCCAGAGAGGTTGTGGAGTCTCCTTCTCTGGAGATCTTCAAAACCCGCTTGGACGCAGTCCTGTGCCACGTGCTCTAGGTGACCCTGCGTGTGCAGGGGGGTTGGACTAGATGACCTCTAGGGGTCCCTTCCAACCTTAAGCATTCTATGATTCTATGAAAGCAAGCAATATATTTATAGCTAACTGTGTTCTCCATCACGTAGGGTCCTGCGTGTATACAACTCACAAACCAAACGTGTAGCATTTAATGTTACCAAGATGCCTTCTGGGGCAGGAGTTGAAGGAGAGGTATGTTGTTCTGCTACTTACGGTATTGGGTAACGTGGGTCTGCTGTTTTGAGAACTACTCTATTCTGTGAACCTGTGGGGCAAATATTTTCAGTTCAGATACTCTTTGGTGAATAGTTTTATGTTTGTCTCATCTCTGTGCTTGTGTGAAGAGACCTTCTCTTCAGGTTTTCTCTAGCATTTATACAGGAGACTAACAAAGAACAGCCAACTGCTGTGGATCTCTTGCAAGTTCATCTGGATAAAAGTACAGCTTTGATTACCTTTTTTTTAAGCATTTTTAAACTGTGCAAATTATTATGGGCCTTCAAATGTATCTGTCAAGCAGTAGCTGTGAGATTATTTCTGAATTTGATATAACACATATATTGCATTAATGTTTTATTGAGCAGCATGAAATTCCAAAAAGGTAGCCTAATTTTTAGGAAAATATGAATTAGTAAAAATTTAGAAAATTCTCTCTACTCGTAAGAGGGCAGATGAAGAGCTTTCTTTCCAAGGTAATTGTAAATGATAGGTAAAAACAACACTTTCAAAGACACTTATAGCTTTCTGTTTTGTTGTTGTTGTTTGTTTGTTTGTTTTGGTAGAAACATTTTTATGCGGGCTAAAGAATGGGCTGTTGAAATCTCTTTGCCATTATAGAATTACCTCTTTAAATCTCTAACACTGGAGTTAAATACTCAAGGAACAGGCTTTTAGACTGGCTGTTAAATAATCTTGTTCTTTAGGTTATTACTACTTTTTCATTCCTGATTTTTTCTCACTTGAATTCCACCTGTGATGTTCATGGTACTTCTCACAATCACATTTTCAACATTACAGGCCAGGAGCTATCGGATGTTTCATGATGACAGCATGAAGTCATTTTTCCGTAGACTGAGTTTTACTCCTGATGGCTCCTCCTTGCTCGTTCCAGGTAGGTGAAAGGAAGACGTGTGCTGTAACTTGCCTTTAGTCTATTGCATCCTCCTTTGCGTGTGCATTATGATTGCTTTCAGATCTGCTAAGGGGCTCCTGTTTGTATGAATCATGACATTGTCAGTCATCATGTTCTTACTAAGAAAGACTCCACAATCGCCTTTCATTAACAGTCCAGAACTTCAACTTTCTTCTGTGCTAAAAATTGCCTATGGCATTTTTCTTAACAGAAACATATATAAATTTGTGCTGTAACTTGCCTTTAGTCTATTGCATCCTCCTTTGCGTGTGCATTATGATTGCTTTCAGATCTGCTAAGGGCCTCCTGTTTGTATGAATCATGACATTCAGTCAGTCAGTCATCATGTTCTTACTGAGAAAGACTCCACAATCCCCTTTCATTAACAGTCCAGAACTTCAACTTTCTTCTGTGCTAAAAATTGCCTATGGCATTTTTCTTAACAGAAACATATATAAATTGCAATAATGTAGCTCTAGTAAAATAGAATTGGAGAATAATGAGTGGTTTCTTTTGACTTGTCTCTCTTCATTTGTATCCCTGCTTTGAAAAAGTTCTGCAGTCCTAGTAAAAATAATACTGCAAGGAGGGGATCAGTTTGCCCATATAAGCACGGCTTTTATAGGTGTCTGGCAATATCAAAAAGAAGCTTTGAGGGGGAAATCTATAAGGGAAACACAAACAGCACTAAATAAATATTTGGAATGCCTTTTTGTGTTCAGATCACACAACTATTGCCCAAGTAATGAAAGACTAATTCCCAAGAAATAAAATGTTTATGAACATGAAATATATGCTTGGTACTTGTTTGAATTGATGAGTAATGTTGTAACCTTTATTTTCTCAGCTGGCTGTGTTGAATCAGGAGAAAATGTGACAAACACCACATATGTTTTCTCCAGAAACAATCTCAAAAGGTAAAGTTAAATAAGATCAAAATATTTTTTATTTTTAAAAAAATATATATCTCAAATATCGAATATTCTCTGAAATACTGTTTCTTTCATAAAAGGCCCATGGGTCACCTGCCCTGCCCTGGAAAGGCAACTCTTGCTGTTCGGTGCTGCCCAGTATACTTTGAGTTGAGACGTGCCCTTAATAAAGGTACTGTAATCCTCCAGGGGATCAACTTTTACAGCAAATATGTGAAAAGGACAATCTGTCTGTTTAGTTGGAGGTCATACTATTTTGCACCCTAGCCATTAAAATAGTGTTGTACTGCATCTTGGAAAGTTCCTCCTAATTTTAAGACCATAAATTCACTTTAAGAGTCTTATGAGTAAATTTTGGTATAGAAGATAAATTTGGCCTCTTAGGCTACAGAAAACAAAACATTTTGCATGAGTAAAAGAAAATAACTTAAGCTTTGCACTAAAGGAGAAACCTAGTGATTTTTTTTTCTTCTTGATTCAGCTACTCACATTACAGAAGCACCCCAGAGTCGGTGTAGTTTACAACAACTGTTGGTGTTTATTCAAGGAGGCCAGACTGGTGTTACTGGCCAGAACAGGAATTCTGAGGAGGGAAGGATTGTTTGAAGTTGTGTGAGACTTTAGCTGGAGACTGAAATCCAGCCTTATTGTTGAGCCCAAGTGGGCTCACAAGAGTTTGTGGGGGGGTTGAGTGGGGACAAGAGTTTGTATATGTGTTTTTTTTTAAACAAGACTAATCTTAACTCTGGTGCAAAGACAGAGCTTTGCTCATTCCCAGATGAGTGAAATGAAGGCTCTTTCTTTAAGGGACACTTGGTGGTATTCCCTAGAGGATATAGAAATTCTGTTCTGTAGGTGTCCTGTATTTGTATCATAAATTGTAGGTCTGTTGCCATGCTGTGTTGAAGGTAAGGAGATGAGTGTTATAGGTCTCTGTAGCTCCTCTGAGAGGAGTGTTTTGAATTTTCTGCAGCACATTCCTGGAAAAGGCAATATCTGCGATAGTCTAGAAATTTGTTGTACCTTACATTAACATTATGTGTGTATCTTCTGTAATCATCGTGGAAGTGAATAGGCTCTGTATAGTAGTAATGGCTGAAAGCAGCTAGCTAGCAGTTAGCTTGTGATTGAACTTGGAAAAAAAGGTTAACTGGTAGCTCGGACACCACAAAAAAATGAATTAAAGCTACTGTTTTGAATAGATCATACAGAATATAATGTAGTGGTCTAAATTTATGATGTCTTTGATTTAAAGTATATCAAAAGAGAATGATCAGCCTGTTTTGTTTCTTTGCATTCTAGATGAAATCAGTCAGAAATCAGCCTCTGCTCTGTTTAATCTGCCCTATCGATTGGTGTTTGCTGTTGCTTCAGAAGATTCTGTGCTTTTTTATGATACTCAGCAGTTGTTTCCATTTGGTTATGTTTCAAACATACATTACCACACCCTGAGTGACATTTCATGGTAGGTAGCTGGTAGATTCTTAAGATTTGCTACGGTTTTGCTGCTGAGGAGGGGAATGTCCTCTTTACATGTTAAAGCTCTGCTCTGATGTCTTGCTTTCTTTTTCTGTTTCATTTATGGCATGCATTTGGTCACTGTCATGACAGTATCTAAACAGCAAGCCACTTCTTGTTGCTGTTGTACAAAAATTGCAGGGGTTTTATCAGCCAGGGAGCGAAGGCCCAAAGGCCCTAAGGACAAGCAGCCCTTTTGCCCACAACTGGGTTATTTGTATGAAAGCTAATATGGCACTTGGTGCCCATGAGAAGTACTTACTGTCCAGGCTGTGCTACTCTAACCAAGTTAACTGCAGGTTTTGAAGTTCACTCCTTTAAGTTCAGGCACCTGTGTCCTAGCCAATTACTGCTTTATATGCACAATTGTGCTTGGTCCTTGTATGTGAGATTAAGTGGTCAGTGTGGTCTGAAGTGGGCAGTCTGAAATGGAGCTGAAAATCAGACCCCAAGTCTTACAGTCAGGATACTATTCCTCCACTGGACTGTGCTTCCACCCTCAAGCCTTCCTTGCCAGTTACCTGAGCTGAGCGCTGTGTGGAAGCCTCTGTTTCGGGAGTTACATCTGATGCTCAGATACTTTGAAGGCTGTTGTTTATCAGGAAGAGGGGAGCAGAAGAGAATAGAAAGTCATCTGTTTCCGATCAGTGATCAACATTCCTTGGTGAAGTGAGCAGCAAGCACCCAGTCCCATAAGCACTACAGTGACTGCCTCTGCTCAGCGCAAGGAGCACGGCCAAACTGCCCTGCCGGGTGTGAATGAGCAGAGTTCAACACTATTTCAGAAACCGATTAAAGATTTATATGCTTACAAATGAACCCTGCTTTGTGCTAGCTCACATGCGTGCAGGTTTTGGCAGCAGCAGGTTATGGCTGATCTCAGTCAAGGCCAGAAAGTAACTCAGACACAGAGGGCAGACATGAGTATCTTGTCATTTGAATTGGATGTCTTTCAGCTGCCTGAGTCTTATTTGGGCTCAGTTGGAAAGGGAGGAAGAAAAGGCAGATACAGCTTGGGTTAGAGATAGTGGGGCAGGTAGGGGAGAACAATTTTTGCCTTCCTCTGAATGGAAAAGAAAATCTCAACAGGTCCAGCGATGGAGCCTTCCTTGCTATTTCTTCCACGGATGGATACTGTTCATTTGTTACCTTCGAGAAGGATGAACTGGGAATACCACTGAAGGAGAAGCCACAGATAAGTGTCAGGACTCCCAGCACAACAGAGAAGAAAGTGAAGAAGAGCCAGTCACACAAAGTCATTTCCCCAGGCTCTAGGCTGACAGAGGGGACTCTTCCTGGCAAAACCACTGATGCCAGCACTCCCACTCTCCAAACTAGAACACCCACAGTTGCCAGTAAGGACTTGCCTTCCACACCTGTTGGCATAAAAAACATTCCAGCTTCATCCTCAGACGAGAGGAAAACCAGCCAGCCAGCCAGCCAGAGTGTTAAAGGAAACCAGCCCAGGAGGATTACTCTCAACACTTTACAAGCGTGGAGCAAGACGCCAAGGTGAGATTTATATTGCCGTTTGCAGTCATAAATATGAAGGCCAAGACAAGCTGTGCTTGTGCTACATTTAAAGGCTTGAGGCTTGAACATAAATTCCCTGCCTTGTGTATTGGTGGTAGCTGTCTTGAGATGGAACTTTGTGTTCTAGTTGTACGACAACTGGAAGGTCAAAATGTTTCCTAAATGTACAACTCCTGTAGTCCTGCCTTAAACGTGAGGTAGAAACACAGGTAACGACCTTTATGCCTTGTGCAGAGGGTAGCAACAGCCATCTTACCTTGAGGCTGCATTTTCTGAATAAAGATGGTGCCTGTAGATTTCAACCGTGTCCATTCTGAAGTGTTCAGGGCTGCACATGCTGCTTAATAAAAGGGGGTTAGGGGAGCATCTAGATGTTTCTAAAAACATCTAGATCTTCCATATGTTGGCAGTTATCCATACATAGGCAGTGTGTAATCCATATATTGGTAGTCGCACAACCTGCAATATAAGATCCTGAGTTGCTAGTATGCAACACTGACGAGACAGCTATGCAATTTGAGATCCATATGTAATCTTTTCAACAAAACAAGGCTATTATGAAATTGAAGGAGTTTATTTGACTTTTTTGCAGGAATATATTAGTTAATAGGCGGCTAGGGAAGAAGTGGTGAGAAAAGAGGAGAATGCTCGATCTTATCAGCAACTATGAGAAAAATTCTCAGTAGAAGATAGTTATAGAATGATTTTTTTCTGCATACCTCTGTTTCATCTGTCTTCAAACTAACATGTCCAAAGGTATAGCTAGTTGAAAGTGATGGTCAGTAGGTGAAGAAGGAAACTGATGGAAGTAACTCATCTTTTGTTTTGTTTCTGAGAGCATGCAGCAGTGAGAGCACCCACCCTCTCATGAGACAGACACAGAGAGACAGACAGAGAATCCCATGAAGGCAGAAGAGAACAAACTTTTAACATGAGCTGAGGTGGCTGTCTGCTACCCTTGCAAACCCCAAGACTTCTACAGAAGTGCAAGGCCAGCAGAGAGGGACAGCAGGCTCTTCCAGTGGAGCTGGAAGCCCTACTAGCTGCCAAGAAGCAGTATGAAACCCTTGGCCCTGCAGCCAGTCTTAACTTTAAGAAAGTTTGACCAGTGTTATGTGTTCAGCAAGTGAGTATCAGGAGTTGTGTTTTACGTACCACATACATAAAAATACTTGCTAGTGGAAAAAGTTGAATAGTATATTTAAAGCACTTTAAAAATACCTATTCAAACTGTAGTAAAACTACATATAAGTGTAAATGATTATAATCTAAAGAAATAAAGTATTTGTGGATGTGGTGTCTTTAAAGCAGTTGAACTGTTTCTGTTCTTTTGTTTTTCTTTGTTTGTTTTTAGGAGAATAAACTTGATTCCAGTAAAGACAGATATTCCAGCCTCGAAACACACAGATACCATTTCGATACCTCCTTCCTCAGAACAGGAACATGGTAAGCCTGTGAGATCATTAGCCTCAGCAAAGACTTTAACTGATTTTTTTTTATGATTTCTGTTATAATCTATTATGAATTTTAGTGTAATCTGATAAATACAAAACTCTTGAATGAAGCACAAACCCAGGAATGTAAAGCTTCCCCTCCTCTGGCTGCGTATGGACGGTGCCTTGGGGAGTGTGCTGTGTGTCAAGCACTGCGTTGCAGCTCCTCATGTGACCATGTGTCAGTACAGTTTCACAGGAATGGGTGTGTTAGCTGGCAATTGAACACTAAAAATATAAATTAGCTTGGAGGCTTCCAGGTCATGCAAGTAGTTTTTTAAGGGCAGTTTCTGCCATTGTACTCAGAGCGTGCTGTTGTACCAGATGCTAAACTTTCTCAAACCTTTTTTTTTTTTCTTTGAGAGTAAATTATTTGTGAATTTTGCAAACAAATTTACTTTTTTTTTAATCTCTTCTCTTGACTTGAATAATTTTCATATCTGCCTGTTTCAGAGAGGCCTTTACCATCTGATGACAGTCTTCCCCCCGCATCTAAACGCCCTAGAACTGAAGAAATGTCTCTTTCTACACCTCCTGAAGATCAAATGAGCTGCGATTCAAACAAATAAAAGCTAAACTTTTAGTAAACTCTTCACAGTCTGAAGGCACAGCAGCCATATCTGAGATTGCATTTCTTCTTGCAAATGTTAAATCTTCAATTCCTGGTGGAAGTACCATATGCATATTTGGCATAGAGCTGAGAAGTAAGAAGCTGGCAGTGGAAGGCAGAGGCTTCAGGAATGGAGCTTTGCAGAAGAGAAGACAGTCAGGAAATGACTTTAAGTGCAGCTCTACTTTTTGAAGACAGTGTTCTCTTTCAAGAAATGCCACAGTTTAAGGAAATGGAGGGATCCTGGGAATTGAAAAGCTCCACAATAACATAAGCATCTCCATCAAAGTCACTAAACTGGTGTTTTTAAACATTATGTCTTCCTGGAGCCTGTCTGGCAAAATATTAAATTTTTCCTAAGGACTTGAATGCATTCATAATGATTTTTTGTGGTTTAAGAAAAAAAAAAAGTAAACAAATGAACTTTTCTTTCAGGCAGCTTGGCTTGTACATTTAGCAATATGAAAAATAATTCATGCCCCGCAGTACATGTGGATAAAAGCTGCTGTTCACATGCTCTGAATGCAGCAGATGCACTATCACTATTATGACTGAAATAGAAATCAATGAACCCTGAAGCCTGGTTACAAGCATAAAACAGTGGAAAACCACTCTTAATTGTTTAGTCTCCATATAAAAAAAAAATGCAGACATGAATTATTTTTGAGGCAGCAAAAGCTGAATGTATACATGTGAAGTACTGATTTTCTTTTGTCCAAATCTAACTCCCTTAGCCAATGAAGTATAATAAAAATCCAGTGCATATTACACTTTTAAGAGTTCATATATTTTAGTGTTTAATGCTTCCTATGTAATTAAACTGAATCTAGCAGCTTGAAAACAAGGAGACCAAAACATCTGAAAACCCCATTTAACTTTTTACGGTATGTGGGCTGTGACTCCAGAAGTAGAGTGTGTGACCCCAGTGTTCTAAACGTGTCCGATTCATTATTTTTTTTTTCTAGCATTATGTACTTATTTAGGGTGGCTCTTGAAAGATAAATAGTTGTTCTTTCTGATGATGGCATAAATAAGTTTAAATGGCATGTGATGAAGCATACACTTCTATCATTTGAAGTTGCAAAGCATGCAGGAGAGAAAAGTTGTGATTCACATTAAAGTTCTCTACCTTCCATTCTTCCATACATCTGGTTATTTTAAAAATGTGCAACTTTTTTTGTCTGTTTCTAAGAATTTGGACAAATACTTTAGAAAAGGGGAAATAAAAATGTTTTAGAAATAAAAATTGTAAAATTTTCACAAGGAGATGAAGTATTAACAATTACCTGTGTTAGAAACACAATATCAAACAATTGAAGCCTACAAGCAAATTTCAGCAAAAAAAAAAAAATTATAGGAAACTAATTACATCTTTGCTTTAAGCCATTGCGATAAGGGTGGATCTGGGTTTTATCAAATTTACCAAATATGGGTTTTTTATAGTAAGAGCTATAAAGAATTTATTGCCAAGCAAAGTCACATCTAAAACCTCTTTCAAAAAAAAAAATAAGTGATAGTTAATGCTGCAGGTAATTGTAGCATTGCTGGTCAGGCTATTTTACTTTATGTCCAGCTTGAGCTATAAAGGTACTGGTATTTCATCTTTTTTTGGGATGTCTCGTTTTGTGCCTGCAAATGATCCTTCGATTTCAAATGTACAATTCTAAATGATAATTGTGAATGTTATCCTGATGTTTAGATTTTTTTTTCTTTTACATGGTGTATTTCAGCATAAATACCCCTTCTGTTGGATGTATTATGTTTTTGTAAATGGCCTACCTGGTCTCAGGGGGCTTCAGGTACAATTAATTACTAAGCATTCATCTTTATTTCATACTGTATTTATTTATTCAGGTGACAACAACTTGCTTTTGTGCTGCTTTTTCTCTTCCTTCCTACCTTATGGGAGCTCTGAACTCAGAGCGGTTTGAACTCATCCCGTTTGCTCAGGATGAGGATCATTTCCAACCCAAGAACCATCCCTCTGCTCATACTATCCAACGTCTTGCAGCAGTTAGAGGCGGGAGTTGAAGACTCGGGGGAGAGGCAGCAATATCACTGCTCCGGGAATGGTGGAGCTTTTATTTGGGGTGTGTAGACCCTGCTCCAGTGCAATCATTCAGTACCACCATATGTCAATATCCTATAGACCACATACCCTGAAAGATCAGTAATCTGGGGGGCAATATGTTTTTTGTTAAATGGATGGGGACTTGGGGGTGTCCTGACCTGTCTTCCTCCTGCTGCAGGCCTTGAGGTCAGTTCCTCTGTCCCATAAGGCCGATTATCCATATATCCATCTATGTTCTAGTTGGTGCTGGCGTAGCCACAACTGTATGTGAACATCTCCAGGCTCAAGCAGCCATCTTCAGTTCAGGAAGCCCTGCTCTAGGGTTCTCCCCTCACAGGCTGGTGCACGATTGTTAACTTGTCTGTTTTACCAGAGAGACAAGTGCTACTGAAATGCAAACTGCTATTGCTCTGGTGTCTGCTTCAGTTTCTGGTTCAGTGATGAGCTTCCACTAGGTTTCCAAGGAGCTGTATCTCATGAGGAGGAGATAAATAAGGAAAAAAAGGTCAAAATAATCTACCGCCTTGTGTTCTGCAGCCGTCTCTAGTCAAAGGACTGAGTCACTGACCGGCAGAGCACCAGAGTTTGCACTGACCTAAAGCACCTTGAGCAGTAGGGCCGCCTTTTGGGCCTTCTTCCTCAGGCACAGCCTTGTGGGTGCAGCTGGAAACCACAGGCAACCTCGTGTGCCCGTGTCCCGCTCCTGCTTTTCTTGCACTGTACAAGGGAAGCTGCTTCTCTGCCGTTGAGCTTCCTGGCTATTACGTGCAGGCTGTGGGCTCTGGGCAGCTCGCTCACTTGTTAACGCCTCGCAGTCCTCTCAACTCGCCCCCTCTTGGGAGATCCTTCCTGCAAGAGGTCGCTAGGAGCCTAGGCATGCGCATTGCGCTTAAACTGAGAAATAAACGACCCCCTAGTTGAGGGGATTTGCCCTTTACTTCATGTTTCTGGGGACTAGGATATCCTTCGCATTTGCAGCCTGAAAGCCCCCATTCTGCGAATTTTCTCATTTTAAACATCTGCAACGTGGGTAAGCACTTGCTCGTGTCAGAAACACAGTCTGCTCCCTGCTGTAAGTCATATACCTTTCTTTTCATTTTTTTTGGTGAATGATCAATTGACTGCAAAGAGTTTGATGGATCTTTGAACAAGTGCAGGCGGCAGAAGCCCAAGGCATGAGGCCTCTGTGTAAAAAAGTAAAAAGAAACGAACACAGGAAGCTTAATCTCCGTGTGAGGAAGAACTTACACTGTGGAGGGTGACAGAGCCCTGGAACAGGCTGCCCGGGGTGATTGTGGAGTCTCCTTCTCTGGAGATCTTCCAAACCCGCTTGGACGCAGTCCTGTGCCACGTGCTCTAGGTGACCCTGCGTGTGCAGGGGGGTTGGACTAGATGATCTCTAGAGGTCCCTTCCAACCTCAACCAGTCTGGGATGCTGTGTGAAATCGCGGGGTGACCGCTGGGTGTCACTGTTCCGCAGGACTCCCCCTCCACCAGCTACGGGGAAAAGGGCAGCAGGCAACGGCCAACATAAAACACAAGCTGTAAATAAATCTATATCGCAAGGGTATATTGTCACCAAGCAGAATTGGTTTTGTTGATCCCACAAGCTTCCTTCTAAGAAGATGAGGTTCATTTCCTTATAAAAGACGCTTTATAATGTCCTGTCAATAGCAGTGCACAGGGAATGCTGTCGCCTCTATCACCGCTTGCCTGTCCCGCTCCCATTTAAAGGGCTTCCTGCTACGCTGTTTGCCTTCCCGCCCGTGACAAGGAAGTGGAGACGGCGGCACCCAGGCACTGCTGGCACCCAGCACGGAGGGGCCCTGGAGCGGGGCAGGCGCCAGGGCGGGATGCCAGGAATCCCCGTGCCTGGAACGTGTGCTGCCTGCAAGAGCAAGCTGCTCCCTCGCTAAGGTTTTTACTCCCACATGGCAATGTAACTTTTTGGTGCCTTCACTGTATATCACCATCATACCAGTGCTGCCCAGCCAGTAATATCTCTCTCTCCCTTTTTTTTTTTTTTTTTAATGTGGTTGAGCTATTGCTAGCTAGAACCACAAGAAGCCTTTGCTCCTAAAGAAAAAGGTAGGCAGACGTATCACCTTTAAAACCCCAATGCCTCTGTGAGCCACTGGACTAATGAGGTCTTGTTTCATATACTTCGTATGGTCAATAGCACTAGTATTTTCAAATAGATTTTGCATTTTTTTAGATACGGGGGACGGTATTCACAACTTTTTCCTGGAAAGAGTTTCTGATGAATAATGTATAATTTTTAGATAATTAGACATCATGCTTCCTAACTGTTGATACTATTTTTTTCTCCCCTGTCCAGCTGCCTATATGAATACATTTTATAGTTACTACCTTTTTTTTTGTCAAAATGTGGCAGATATTTGCCTACAGATTCCAAAGGGAGTCCACGTTGTAGTACACACACACACTATATGCTGACATTAACTTCATTTCTTCTGGAGGAGAACAGGCTTAACGTGGTAACTTATGTTTGTGTTCTATTTGTGTTTCTCTGCTGCTGATGATAAACGAGGGAGAAGAGACAGGTTGGAATTACCTGTTTATACACTAAACAGAATTTGCTGTATTAAAGCTTTCTGCTTTTCACACCACTCATTTTTCTCCCTGCTGCTATAAATGATTTGTCTGTTGCCATTGAAACGCTCTACATCACGGCTGCATGACAGTAGCAAATTTCCTTGTGGAATTTCTGCAGACAGATCGGTATTGCAAACATATTAGAAACTGTAGGGAGGTCATTCCCAAACGTATCCTAGAAGGGCCTGGCTTTCAGCAGTGCTAAGAGCTCATAAGTGGAGGTGGAAGACTAATGTGCTCAGCGTTCGTATTTTGTCAGCATTTAAAAGCTTCCACAAACAAAGAGCCAGTGCGTTTTAATGTGAAGAATGATAGGGAAATAGGGGCTGTTCTGCTGTTTCACTTCTGCATCACCTTGTGGATCAATCACTGTGTGTTATAAATGGGAAGTCCCTTAACCCCTGCTATCATGATTTTTATTAATGTACACGTATGTTTGGGCACTCATAGGAGATGCTGTATTTCCAATCTCCTTTGGCAAACGAGGAACACCATGGGTGTC